TCAACTTTTATTCAAATCAGAAAACCAGTTAGGACAAGAAGTGAGGAGGAAAGTAAAGCTGGAAGAAAGGACCTAGTTTGAGGACAAAGTGGGGAGTGAAATGTGGAATCCGAATCACCAACGAATTGAGAAACGGAATAAGAAACAAATAAACTTCGAGAATGTTCCATTAATAAGTTGCTTTTCGAGACCATTTATATTTTAAGTGTATTCACCCCAGTTCGTCTAAGATGATAAAAGGAGTGGTAGTTGCATTTTTGCACACAATGACCTTACATTTCCATGGAATTCAACATAATTTCCCAAAAGGTATTCTCATCCGGCCAGGAATTGACTACAGTTTCGACCTCTGCCAGGCCTTAACAACACCCTCGGCGTTAAATCTCGACACGTCAACCACTACCCCACTCTGCCACGAAGGCACGTGGGTCGCAGGGCCGTTATGCATTTCATGCAAGACTATGCATATTCCCAAGCATGATTGTAATTGCTATGGCAATCGACTGCGTTACTTAGTTCTAGTTTTATAAGTCGGTTTTCGAGACTACCAGTAGATCCTATATTTGACATGTATTCATCCTATTTCGTTTAGGATGATAAGGAGGGTGCTAGTCGAATATTCCCACAATGCTATGAGTAGACATGGCATTTTGAACGTTGATAAGACCTAGTCGATCTCGAAAATGTGAAATTCAATGGAAAAGTGACGTCTACTCATTTCATTGTGGGAAAAACTCCACAATTGTTAAGCCTACTTCCACTTCAAGTGGAAGTGTCTTCTTCACAAAAACCCCACCTTCAGTACTTAAATCACGTCAACCGGCCTAAGGCTAGTAAAGCTCATATGGACCCACCTTCGCCGAATCACACTCTGCGGTATATCCTTGCTCAGATTAGCTTGGACTGAACGGTTTCTTTCTTATAAAAGTTACATAATTCCTCTTCTCTTAACCTTGGGGCCTTGCTTTCATCTCGACCTTTTCAAAGCCAGAATAGGAAAAGTGCTATTTTCAATATTATTAGGAAGGGTTCATCCTCATCTTCCCAACTCGACCAGAGGAGAAGGGATGCCTTGTGGAACGTACCAAGTAGTAGTGGTAATAGTAGTCATGACAATTTCCAGCATCAGATCGTTGACCTGATGCACTTCCTCCATTTCGCTGGCATCGTAGTCGACATCGTGAATGGGAAGTGCCAGCTCAAGCATCGAGTTACAACTGGTGAAAGCAACAAGTGAATATAATCCTCTTGATCAATGATCGCTTCTCACCCTCTTTATACGAGGCTCCTAGCGACTCATTCTCTTACCTCAATCTCACTTCATTTTGCGAATTTTCATTCCTATAGCAGTAATTCATAAAGAAATTCCACTTCAGAGTAATGTTCACTTTCGATTCCCAACATAACTGCACAGTGAAGTTCGGATTATAATAAGCATAAACTGACAAATCAACCCAAATTTTCTCAAGATCCGATACCCAATGTAGCCTATACACAAAGTGAAGAAAAATAAGGAAGAAACATGCACAGAAGAATATTGTGACAAAATCTCATTATTATTTCTTTATACCGGGTAAAAAAATAAAACCCGATTTTATTTCAATTAATAATAAAATGGTTTCTCGCCATTATAGAAGTGGGTTGACCTCGTTGTCGCAACTTGGTCTTGTTGTCAGGGTGACTTAGTAGAACGCACCTAGTTCGAAGTCGTCTGCCATAGTAGTTGTCATGATTCCCAGCATCTGACAGTGAACTTGATACATTCTCAAACGTTTCTCCGGCATCGTAGTCGACATCATCAGTGAGCTTTGCCATTCTTCGCACCAAGATACGAACTCGTCAAAGAGACAAGTCAAGTCAAGCCCTCGATACTGGCAATCATGACAACTACTATGGCAGACGACCTCCTACAAGGTGAGTTTTACATAGTCGCCCTGACAACAAGACCAAGTTGCGACAACGAGGTCGACCCACTTCAATAAATCGAAAGCAGACTGCGACCATAACAGAGGCCACAACATCTTGGTCTTCATATATTCTGGGATAACTAAGTTTTTCTTTAAGGACTATCAATAATCTTGAAAACGCAGTAATTAGAAAATAAAACATGTATATTGTAAATTCCACTTCGTCTCTTTGACGAGTTCGTATCTTGGTGCGGAGAATGGCAAAGCTCACTGATGATGCCGACTACGAGGCCGGACAAACGTTTGAGAATGTACCAAATCCACTGCCAGATGCTGGGAATCATGACAACTACTATGGCAGACGACTTCGGACTAGGTGCGTTCTACAT